GATACTAGACAAGGATGAAGGTGATTTGGGTCCCAAATTCTGATTAGCTCAACTTTTAGCTCATGTCCATTCAGCTCAGCCCACTACCCTACCTGACAGGTAAGAGCAAGTCTCTGTAATCATGCAGACTATGACGTTGTGCCAGGTGTGGCATCAGGACAGCTGCATCTAGCACTGGCTGATAGAATTAATATATTTAAATTAGATTTTTAATAAAAATCTGGACCATTCAAACACAAGAAGAGACTCGTATCCCTCTAACCAACCAAAGCTTCTGCTAATGACACTTACTGTACAAATCCCGTGCTCAGCAAAGGGGGGAGTCTGAATAATGCCAACTGATTTCCTTTGTTAAGGTCCATGGTTTGCAGCAGAAGCCTCGTAAGATACCTCCTTTCTAGTCCTTATTTTCCTCTGCAAAACTATGTCCAGGACTTCGTCCTTCTTGTTTGTTCTGGGAACCCTGCGCTGCCTTCCTGCCTCTGCCATGCACCCCAAAGAGATGCTTGCTGTGGCCTGGCACTGCTTGCCTTGAGGCAACATTTGCACATCAGGGCAGGGCACATTTGCACATCAGTCAAGGCTAAAACAATGTAAAGAGGGCATGACACAAATAATTAGTCCCTACAGATCTGCTGTAACCTTCAGCTGGAGCCTTATCAGCAGGTCAAGCTGGGGCAGTGCACCTCCTAGGGCACCTCCCCCGGTTCTCCCAGGAGAGGAGGGAGCTTGAACCAAGCCAAGCCCAGCCTGGATTTAATAGAAACATCTTGGCCTCGCTGGCAAAAAAACCCACGCCTTGAAGTACCTCAGGGAGTGGCCCACAACAGCACATCCTGAGGCAAGTGGCCAAGAGGCAGCGATGACTAAGGCCATGGAAAAACAAAACACGACCTTCCCGGCATGGGCTGGGCCAAACGCCTGCACCTGAGGCTCTGTGGCTGCCCTCTGAGCAGACACTGGGATGGGAGATTCGGTGGGTGAGCACTGACCTACAAAGCCAGGGTGACCCCGCTCTCCAGCCACTATTTCTGGTATCTGTAATTTCATTCCTCTACATACGGTTTTTACAGAATGCAGAAGTGTTATCCAGTAGATAAAACTGAACTGAATACAGAATTTGGTTTTCTTCCCTTCACAAGAGATGTTTTTCAGATAAAATAGCATTTAAAAGGGGAACATGATAAATATGGGGGTTTTAATAGCTTTTACCCAAAGTGATGTAATTAGTCAGGATCCAAGAATGGTTTGCCACATGAAATCCAATGATTAGTTGTCTAAACCAATGTGAGGCTCATTCCTTTTGCCTTTAAAATCAATGGCAATTTAAGTTTAAGAAGAAGCTGGGCCCTGGTTCTCTGAAAATGTAAACCAGATCCTTCCCTCTTGGCCCTGCTCTTTTTAAAAAAAAAGAAACCCAACAAAAGTGGGTTACGTTTCCCTTTTTTCTAAATATATGTTTCTAAAGAGGTTTCAAAAAATATTTCACTCCTTTGACTGAAATGTTTCCTTTAAATCATATTACCCATTGAGCTGAATCTGTGGCATTTTGGAAACTGTATGTGAATTTCCCAAAGTACATAGGACTGGACAGCTTTCATGTAGGTGATGTTTTTTCACTGCTGTGTGATTTTGAGGGCTCTTACCCTGCACATCCTAACAAGCCTCAGGGACATTCCTGAGGCCCTGGGAATCAGAGCCATCACTCCCACCACCTGTGGACATGCTGCAATTTGCAGGGGCCAGTCACAGCACTAATTTGCTCTAAGGCTTCACTGACAAATAGAAAAAACAATTGAACTGAGAGAGGTCTAGTCAATACATGCTATTGTAAAGCTGCTTTCTTTCAGTTCTAGTTGTATGAGATCTGACAGCATGGTTTTCTTCCTCCTTGCGAATTCAGCCAAAGAGGAGCTAATGCAGGAAAATAAACGTCTGGGGGGGGAAAAAATATACAATAATATAATCAGAAAATGTATTAAGTGGCTGTTTTCAAGAGATTGCAAGCAATTAAAGCAGAAAAAGAAGTCACTATTTTCAAAAGTCTGCTTGAAACAAGAAGTGGAAATGAGAGGTCTGATCCCAGGCACCTTCTAGAAAAGTAGTCCATCAACAGGAGCAATTGCAACAGCATGTAGCACCCACACCTGTGTCTGCAGTGACCACTGACACCATGGTTCCATGATCCCTTAATCCAGTGCAAGCACTCTCAAGTAGGAAGGGGTGGTCCCATCTTCCCCCTGCTCCTAGCTCTCATTCTCATCCTCTCCCTTGCACCCACAGCAATGCTCATGCAGTCTGCCAGAGCCTAATACTCTCTGAACACTCTGAATACTTTCTGATATACCTTATGAACAGGGTTTAATATTTTAATACTAAGTTACTTATTTGAAGATATCTGATGCTACACAAGACTTTGATTTAGCAGACCAATAGAGCAATATACTGAAATCACAACACAAGTATAATATAGCAAATACAATACATAGCTGAATCAATACAAACATGAATCCCATTACCATTCTCTATACACTCGCTATCAGGATGCTGGGCATCTCCAGTCACTGAGAAGAAATAAGTGGGTTGAAACCAACTCAAGGCCTTTGTCCTCTTCACAGCTAACTTTGCTGGTTCTTTGATTTTTATATTCCATGTAAGGATGAGACATATATACACTTCCCCCCATGCTGGTCTGGCTGGCTCAGGAAGATAATTTCTACTGATTTTTTTAGGGCAGGCCAATTACACAACCAGCTGACTCATTCAACCGATACACTGGTCTATCTACAACAGAGGTCACCCTCCCATCCCCTTGCTGTTAAGTTCAGCTTCCTTTAAAACAACCATGGTCATTTCCTACATTCTTTCCCGAGCTTCATGACCACACCATCCTTGTCTACCTCATCTGAGCCTTTTTCCACACTAGAGGTTCATTGATTGGTCACACAGCCGTATGGACCATGACTATTCATTTAATTAAGCATGCCAGGAAATGTGGCCGGGCACTGGAGCTCAGGCATCCATGCTTAAATAAGAAGAGCAATGCCTTATGGCCATCTCACAGCTGAGTTTCCATGTTCCTGGGCATGATCCAGAGGTTAGCACAAGGAGGAATCACTCTCAACCAAGAGGTTGTGTGTGGACACCCTGCTGAGGGTGGTCACTCTACAGTGAGTCTGACAGTGTGGGCACAAGCATTCTCAGTGTCAGAGAACAGCCTGGGACAAGTTTCATTCCCTCATGTTGGTGTAGCTTTCTGCACATCTTTCTTTCTTGTGTTGGGTTAGATTCCAGTCAGGGTTCAACCCTGAGATCAGTTGAATGGCAACAAGGGACACCTGGAACAAGTGGTTGCAGAAAGTGACTGGTGAAGTAGCTGACCAGTCCTCTGATGGCAGCCAGGCAATAGAGCTTGAAAAAAGATGTCACAGGCACTGTTCAGGGGAATAAGTGCAAGGTTCTCCAAAGACCCCATCTTCTTGGGGAGAAAGGGCTCAGTGAAAAGTGAAACACAGGGAGATCTGATAGGCCAAGATGTTGCAGGGAGCTACTCCACAGCTGTAAGCCTACAGTCACTTATTCCAGCCCCTCCTTAGTCTTCCAGTTACCAGGACTTCCATGTAAGTTTTTAATTTTCAAGTGAAGGGACTTGTCTGCTTGATGCATTCTGGGGTTTACCAGGAATGAAAATTGTACACATACAGTCCATTAGGCAAAACCTGAGTTTAAATAGCTAAGTTTCATTTTCCTAAAGGCCTTTACCCCCTGTTTTAGCTAAAACAGGATCTCGACAACAGATAAATGCCTTTACTGCGTCCTACCCAGGCAGGCTGCTGGCACAGTTCTGCATGCATGCCATTAGGTGCAGGATGCTGTACTGTGATCATGAACTAGGGATGCTTATTTTATAAAGCTAACACCTTGTACATAATTCACTGGGGAACGTAAGCTTCCCCTGCTTATTCATGACAAAATACATACTATGTATTGTATGTATAACAGTGCAGTAAGAAACACTGATTAATGTACATGTTAAACACAGGAACTAGACCATGGTGCTAATATACACAGATCAGAGTTCAAAGCCTTTCAGTGCCTGTGTGGCCTGTCCTGCCACTCCTAGGGACAGTCATCCCTTAAACCCCAGGGCACTGGGAATGCCCCTTCATCAGAGCGATGCTCCAGATGCAATCAGATGACTGAGGCTTTGAGTGGATCTGGCAGAGACTAGGGTTGAGGAAAGGGCAAGGGAAAGGCAAGCACCGTATCTTGAAATAAAATGCAGGATCCAAGCATAACAAAGATATCTGCTGGAAGCAGGAGGGGAGGTTAATAATCCTGCCCCCAGGGCGGGAGCTCCTTGCCGATGGGGCAGGACCTCTCTGCAGCAGGCACAGTGCAAACACGGCTGAGGAAGATGTGCCGCGCCAGCCCGCCTGAGCTTTCAGGCACTCGCAGGGCCAACACACATTACTGCTTCAGTGTCAGAAACCAGCCAGCTATTATGAACTGAAACCCACTTTCCTGCTTTCCTTTGAAGAAGAAAACTCTCTACTATCAAAAGGGGGAGTTAGGCTCAGTTAGTCTGCAACTGTGATCTTAATGGGCTTCATGCTGTTGCCATTATTAGACAAGCCTTTACCATGTGGGTGGAAGCAGAAAGCCTGCCGAGAGGTAGGAGACAAATAAGAAACTATGTGAAGAATGGGGATTTCTGATGAGAGCCTCTGATGATGAATCCCCTGCTACTATGCTTGTGAGAACGGGGCCAGAAGTCTCAGCTCTGAGCTGCTGTTCCTCTGCCATCAGCGCTCTCACTGCAGGGCTGGAGCAAAAATGCAGTGGTTATAAAAAGCGACAAGATCAATGATCTGTACAAGGGATGTAACAAGGCAACTACCTTGTCAAAATGATATGAGAAGGAGTGGTTATAGCAAAAAGCAAATACGGCTCGGTGATGCTTTTTTTTGTCTCATAAAAGTAGGTTGAAGAAACCAAGATACATCGAAGCTGACGGTTTATTGAATTTGGCAGCAGTTCAAAGCAAGAACCGCTTGTCCATGCTGTGCCAGAGCTCACACCCGCTATCTGCAAGAGGTAAGGGATGAGGAGCGCAGATGCTTCGCACAGAATAAAGGAGTGAACTGATTATTCTTCCCAAGTCTCAGAGGATGCTCTATGCAGCCCCCAACACAGAAATAAGTACATTCAGTGAAAAACTGTTGTAATAAAATAACAAAAACCTGACAATTAAGGGTGGGAGGTGGCATAAAGAAATTCTTTAAAAAAAACATTCCACTGAACCTCCAATACTTCTCCTGGTATATAATAAAAAGACAAGAAGAGCTGTTTACAAAGTCCAGCCACACATGTTAAGTCCACCCAAAAAGCTCCATTGAAGTGAAAGGAGAGGAGGGTGTGAGGATTCTGCCTATGTTGGAGCTAAAGCTTCGAAGTGTTTTTTCTCAGCGACAACTGCATCCGGAATTTAGCGTGTTTCAGCAATAAGTAGGAGCTCAGAGAATTTTTAACTTGTCTAATTATAGCAAGTTGGTAGTGTAACTATAATTATGAGAACAGAGACACTATGCCTAGAAGAGCTTCTGGTGCCAAGGAGAGCTGTTAGCAATGATAAGTGTCCCCGGTACACACCAAGATAATTTAGTTCTTGTTAAAATATATGTAAGGGCTCAGACACCTAAGTGGTCCCGGCAGCTGAACAAGTCCCTGCGCAGGAGCAGTAGCTAAAAGCTCTCAGTCCCCAGCAAAAACAAAGCATGCTAGTTTCGATCTGCAAAGATTTAAGCCAAGGTAGTTAATTTCTCATTTCCAACAGGAAGTAAGAGCACAAACAACTTATTTCCGTGGTTGAAGTGATGTGGTACTCATTAAACAGCAGTAACTTGACAGTTCTGAACTCCAGCTGTTTCATCCTGACACAGAGAAGCCATCCTGGAGATGAAAGGGCCTGGGGACATCCCACAGCAGCTGTTCCCACACGGAGGCTGGAGGCTGCAGTGAACAAACCGCAGCGACTGCTCAGAAGTTTCTGGCCCTTACTGTGTTTTAATAAAATATGTGATGATAAGCTGAGATCACCCAGCTGAAGTGAAGTAGATTTTAATATACTTAATATCCTTATTTTAATAGACAACCTGAAATAGAAGAGAAAAAAACTCGCGTGAGTCTTCGCCTTTGTCACAATGCAGGAGATAATGACACTAAACATAAGATATTTGCCTTGCACTACTGCAAAATTCAAATAAATTTACAATTTTTATATATTTGTGGTTCTTTTGTCAGTTTTCCAGAGCACAACCCCCCAATTCTGGTTTCTGTTTGAAAACACAAGAAAAACTTGAGGTTGAATATATGTTGCTACCGCTTTTGATTTTAGAAAAATTCAGTGCATAAAATTACTTCAACAATAAAATAAATACAGATACTAGTCCAACCATACTAAATCTCTTCCTTTTGAGAAAAAGATAATTACAAGAATACAGAATTCCTCTAAATTTAATTTGATAAATCTTGGTATTTAAAGTTATCAAATAATAATGGTACAGCTAGTAGACATTGATACAGCCAAACCAGAAAACAAGATCAAATTCAGAAACAGAATCTTTGATCATAGAAATCACTGAAATGCTAGACATTAAGTGCAAGAGACAGAACTGTAACAGGACTCAAAAAGAGGAACTCACCTCATTTGAAATGGAGTTATATGAGAAAAATAAGGACACACAAAAAAACAAGGGCTGGGTTTCATAATTCTGATATGTTCATAAAGATGTAGGTGTACTAGCCTTTTACTCAGCAAAGCAGAACACAACTCACATCACATCATCAGCACACTGCAGCTAAGTAGGATGGATATTGATGTGAGAAGCTAGCACATAGTTTCTGATAATAATGTAATCATGCCATCTTCCTACAGCTTTTCAAATAAACCGATATATGCAATAAACCCTAGTAATTGTTAGTGAGACCTTTCAAGTACCAAAGTGAAAATTTGAGTCAAAGGACTGGAAACAAAGATTGCAGCAAGCAAATTAACAGGTTTTAGCAGACTACAGCTTGGAAGTGTTATACATGAAAAAAAATATGTAAGCAGGTGGTCAGAATTAAGACTATAGACCAAATTCTGTACCAGAGGCACAGGAGAAATGTTAGGTGTCATCAAAATAGGTGTAAAGCTTAATGAAAAACCGTAAAACTAAAAGGACTGTCAACTATTCAAATGCATTTCTTCATAAAAGAAGAGTCTTTGGAGAAATGTCACCTCAGCAGCATGAAAAAAAATACTTTTGTCAGCAAAACCAAATATATTAAAATATTACTTTCATGCTGAAGTCGTAAGTATTCACTTGTTATTTTTAATTGTTGTTATTAGTATTTCTTTGGTTAAAAGACTTCTGAGGGAGACAATGGGTTCAAGAAGAAATAAATGAGACTGACCAGGGCATTGTTTTTAAAATAATTTCTTTTCAAAAGTGTACATCAGGCTTGTTTCTTTGGACAACAGCAGTACCGTGCCCCCAGAGACAGCAGCCTCCGCTTGAAGCAAGAACTCTTCTTTCCCAGGACCCCACCATGACCTCCTGTGGACTTTAACACAAGGCCCGGGTTGGCAGTCACAATCTCAACCTATACACTTGGGACATGGTGATCTGTGTGGCTGGGGATGTTCATTTTGTCCTCTAACCTTGCCTACCAGGAACAGTTTAGTATCTTTGGCTACACTCAGGAAAATTTCACTGTGCCTAAGGGTGAGGGAATGGATTTGATCACCTCTAAGACCGCTGCTTATTTACTACCTCATGATCAATCCATGAAGCCTCTTTGGAGAGCTACCAGGCCTGCATCTAGTCTTGCCTTCGAGCAACTTGGGTCATTGTCAAAACAACCCCAGGGGGGTGCAACATTTCTATACTCTTCTCCCGTCTCCTAAATATTTGAGGTCCGCTCTGTATGCACACAGTGGGAAAGAGTCCCTGTCCTGAGTTTACAGTGTAAGTGGTCAAAACAAGCAAAGAGTGAGGGAGGAAGAGATGAATATCCACCATTGTTTCTCTCAGTGTCTACCTATAGCCAGTATTGTTTGCAGCTGGGAAAAAAAATGCATTCTTAGGAGAATAAAAGCCAAACCATCTCTGCTTCCCAGGGAAAACCAAACTACTTTTCATCTACAAAGCAGCAAGCTTCTGCTAAAATATCCTGTGTACTACAAAAACTAACCTGGATTGATGGCTATATCACTCACCAGAGATTATTCCCAATAGCCTGCAGCCAGGGAACACACCCAGGGTCCCCTTCCAGTTCTCCTGAGGTCAGCAGCAGGGCTAGACACATCAAGAGCAGCCACTGGTTTGGGTGGCTCACTTTTCAGCTGCACATCCTCAGAGGATCCTCTGAAGATGGTCAGTAAGAAGGTGAAAAACCCCAAAACACTGGTTATATTGAGTGTTTCATCTTTAACTTGGCATTTTTTTCCAATTGCCTGGAAAATACACTCCCAGCCTTTCTTCTTCCCAGGCTGTGCGAGCAGAAGTCCCAAGAAGGCTGCAGAGACCACAGGGCAAAGGCAGGTCCTACCTTCCCAGGTGAGAGCTGAAACAATCCTTGTAACTGGGGCAGGATATCTGGACACTTTAGATCAGGCAAAAAGGTGACTCTCACCTTGGGACGTGGGCTGAGCAAGCAACAGAGACAGCACATTGGATTTGCAGTGAACTGATCTCCTGGGAAGAAGACAGGCAGGGGAGAGCTCACTTTTGTGTACTGAGGCTTTAGCATCCTGCAGCCAGGAAAGGAAGCTTCAGGCTGGTCTGCACAGACAGTGATCCCACAGTAAAACAGATGATTAAAATCATATGCAGTAGTTTTAACTCAGGACAAATATGCAGGTATAGTGGTTTTCTCAAAACAGAGAAAAGATCTTCTGTGAGCACTTAAGACCGAAAGAGGAAAGGATCTATATCAGGATCTGAGTGCTCTGTAGGAAAACCGCCTCCTCAAAAGCATGACTGCAGTAATGACTTAATAACTATCCTGACTATCAGGTAAGAGTTGGTGCCATGAAGTTCAGCAATAAGGCAATCTGAATGGATTTAATACTTGAGTATTCCCAACGTGGAATAACAACCAGGTTCATGTACATATTTTCAGATAAATCAGAGCACTTACAAAAATACTTTCCCTCATCTCTTCTTTTTGCATTAAGACAGCACGATTTACTGCTCTAAGCAATGAGACAATGTTTTCTCTCAACAACAGGATTATTTGAAACACTTTACGCTGGCTGTGATTAAAGAGAATGCGATAGAGAGCATGGCACATAAAGAGGGATAGCAAATGCTGCCCTTAACTGCTCCTCCAAATGAGAACATCTAATACTTTTAATGGAAATACAGTGTTGTACTCCTACCAGCTCCATTATACTGAGTAACATGACAGGTCCGAATCCCAATCCCACTAGTTTTGAGATGAAGCAGAAAATTGGTGACAGGCTGCAGTAAACAATGATGGATTTATGATGTTGTTTTGGAAGAACGAGCATTGTTTTGAAGGATTAGATGCTGTAATCTGTACAGTAAGTCAACAAAAAGGCACCATAACAGGAACAGGTGAGGAGCAGGCTTCCAATTACTAATGCAAAATAATGCAGTTTATTCACCCTAGTGTGATTACCACGAGGTGATAAAATCACTCTATGGCAGCAGAAGCGGCTTGCTAGATGAAGTGGCAACACACTTTCCCCCTTGAAGAGCTTCTACTCTTAGCTGCAGATGTGCCCAAATCGTGAGGGAAATACCCAAAAGCAGATAAGGAAAGAGAGAGCAGGGCCAGGCTGCTGGGGCTTTCTGGGGTGGCAGCAGAGCCAGCGGGACAGAGGAGTGCCAGAATGATCCCCTGCACACTGAAACCATCACCAAAAGCCCAATATGGGCTAAGGTGGGTTGTGCCTTGCCAGAGACTGGTTTTGCCCCAGAGGTATGGTTTGAGTACAGGGATGTAAATGAGACGCTTCTGATTGTCACTTCTATTGTAGACACTGAAAAAGAGGAGATAGAGTGAGGATGACCCACGGGCACTGCCCACCTGGGTTAGCTGAGTATCTGCCTCTAGGCTAAGTGACCACTTTCTTCATGTCCATTTTGAAACCACCTGCTCCTTTAATACTTGCTCGTCAGAAACACCTTTTAATTCTCCGTATGTCTCTTCTTAGCAACCACAGCAGCTACCAGTGACAGCTGTGTACCACTGCCATAGGGGCAAAACAGCTAGTGTATAGTGGCAAGATTCCCAGGGCTTGTTATTTTCTCAGCTTGGGGCAATTAAAGCCTTAGCAGCCAAATGATGTCACCAAATAAAAATGCACACTTCAATCAAATTTTCTCTCTGAGATGACAAGCAGCATGGTAAGAGAGAAAAACATACTAACACCAGTGGCAGAGAAAACTTCCTAATTATTTGACCTATTTGGCAAGAAACAAAATATTTTCATAGAATCATAGAATGGTTGGTGTTGGAAGGGACCTTAAAGATCATCTAGTTCCAACCCCTCTGCCATGGGCAGGGACACTTTCCACCAGACCAGGTTGCTCCCAGCCCCGTCCAACCTGGCCTGGAACCCTTCCAGGGAGGGGGCAGCCACAGCTTCTCTGGGCAACCTGTGCCAGTGCCTCACCGCCCTCACAGTAAAGGATTTCTTCCTTATAGCTAATCTAAACCTACCTTCTTTCAGTTTAAAGCCATAACCCTTCGCCCTATCACTACACGTTCTTATAAAAGGTCCCTTCCCATCTTTCCTGCAGGCTCCCTTTAGGTACTATAAGACCGCTATAATGTTTTCCCAGACCCTTCTCTTCTCCAGGCTGAACAACCCCAAGTCTCTCAGCCTGTCTTCACAGGAGAGGTGCTCCAGCCCCCTGATCATCTTTGTGGCCCTCTTCTGGAATTGCTCCAACAGGTCCATGTCCTTCTTGTGTTGGGGGCCCCAGAGCTGAACACAGGACCCCAGCTGGGGTCTCACAAGAGTGGAGCAAAGGGGGAGAATCACCTCCTTCAACGTGCTGGCCACACTTCTCTTGATGCAGCCCAGGATATGGTTGGCTTTCTGGGCTGTGAGTTCACATTGCCAACTCATGTTGAGTTTTTCCTCAACCAACACCACCAAGACCTCTGCAGGGATGACCTCAGTCCATTCTCTGACTAGCCTGTATTTGTGCCTGGGATTGCCCTGATCCATGTGCGGGACCTTGCACTTGGCCTTGTTGAACTTCATGAGGTTTGCACAGGCCCACCTCTTCAGCCTGTCCAGGTCCCTCTGGATGGCATCCCTTCCCTCCAGCATGTTGACCACACCACACAGCTTGGTGTCATTGGCAAACTTGCTGAAGGTGCACTTATTCCCACTGTTCATGTCACCAACAAAGATGTTAAACAGCACTGGTCCCAACAACAACCCTTGAGGAACACCGCCTGTCAGTGCTCTCCACTCAAATATCAACCCGTTGACTGTAGCCATCTTTGAGTCTGACCATCCAGCCAATTCCTTATCCACCAAGTGGTCCATCCATCAAATCCATGTCTCTCCAATTTAGAGACAAGGATGTCGTGTGGGACAGTGTCAAATACTTTGGCACAAATCCAGATAACATCAGTTGCTCTTCCCTTATCCACCAATGATGTAACCTCATTGTGCAAGGCCACCAAATTTGTCAGGCGTGGTTAGTGAAGCCATGTTGGCTGTCACCAATTGTTTTCCCTGTCCTTGTTTTCCATGTGCCATCACAGAGTTTTCAGCAGGATCCACTCCATGATCTTACCAGGCACAGAGGTGAGACTGACTAGCCTGTAATTCCCCAGGTCTTCCTTTTTTCCCTTTTTAAAAATGAGGACTATGTTTCCCCTTTTCCAGTCAGTGGGAACTTGACTGGACTGCCACAGCTTCTCAAATATGATGAATAGAGCCTTACTTTGCTCTCAAGGGACACTATTTGGGGGTAAACCTGGTTCTTAAAATACACTGCAAGTTTGGTGAGTCAGTGCAGGTCTTCAGTCCTATTTAATCATTTGCCTACAGCACTGCACACTGCAGGGAGATGTAAGAAGAAATGCAGAAAAGTAACTGCTGTTAATGTAAAATTCGTGAAATTGGATTAGAAACATAGTTAGGGCCAAAAACCTGCCTCCACTCTAGCTTGTGAGAATTTTGCCCTTGATGGCAGAGAGCAAAAAGCACCGTTAAAAGTTAACGCCAGTTTGTAACGCGATCGTACCTCAGAACAGAGACTTAGTGTGTTCACACCAGTTTTGTGTTGGAATCTCAAAATAGCTTCATCCAGCCACTTGCTTATGAGACCTGCCAAGTATAAAATTGTGCAGAAAACCTTGGTTGGAAGCTTTTTTTTACAAAGATCAAGTACTTAAAAGTTAGGCAAAGTTGTACAAACAGCATGAAGCATTTGTGGTTTGCTCAACAGAAGAAAACGCCGTATTCAGAAGAGGTAGATGCTGAAATTTCAAGCCTGATACTTTAGTCCAGTGTTTGATTTAAAGAGAACAGTAATCGCATCCCACTTATCTCGCTGATAAAGAACATGGAGCTGCCGCAGTCAGCCTGGAGGGAAGCCAAGGCAAACCCAGGCAGAACTGAAAATTCCCGTTAAGATGACTGAGCGGCAAATGATGGTTATTTATTCCAATCAATTTGTTAATTTATTTCTGGAAAAGCTGGATTAATTTGTTGCTAATCAAAACAAGGACATATTCATTACAGTGTGTATGATGAACCACTACTAAATAGGCATAGCTAGGATTTCTAATAGATTTTTTAAAAAGAAGACTGATTTGGTAGCTCACCCTCCCTAAAGAAGACCATTCAGGCTCATTTCCCTACAACATATACTTCTACCACTTTATCCAGGCTAATTTCAAACACCACACTGATGGACCATCTAACCCAAATTCTTTCATCTCCCCAGTGCTGTAGCCCTTGCTGACTCTTCACTCCTAGCTGTTCTCCTTCTACCCATACTCTCAAACACTAGCATCTGTTTAACTGCTTTCCCTTTGCTTACCACTGGTTTAGTGAGGATAACCTTATCTGCTGAGGCCTCTTGTCACCTCTGCTGCTGCTGCTGCCCAGGCTGGGTCACTTAGGACTTGGCTTTCCACAGTGCTCAGATTCTTCCTCTTCTCTCTTGAAAAGCAGAACTACAATAATCATGAGACACGGTTTAAAAAATAAATGCAAGGTATAACTTATTTTAAATCTGCCCTAGCAATCCTTCTGTCTGAATCCCTAATAACATTTAACTGGCCCTTCTCTGAAGTCCAGCCTCACTGATCCCATGCCGATAACGAGGTCTCTGAAGCCTGTCCTGAGCAAACATGCCAGCAGCAATTTCATCAGTGCTTGGCAGAGAGGCCAACGGTGATGTCTTCACTCCTGACAAACTTCCAGCTGGTCCAAGAGGACAGGTACAATGCTGAGATTCAGTACCTCTGCAGCCCAGAACGACACTGGCCAGGCCCCACCCCTCACTGTTTGCTTAGTTCTCCCGAGTGGGTAATTCTGAAATGACATTTCCAACACCGTGACCTTGCTCTTTTTCTCTGACTGATAACAGCATGAGCACTTTGGAAAGGCCAGGAGAGGGAAGAACCAGCAGCAATGTGGGTGGGCAGGGAAGCTGGCCTGGCAAAGCCCAAGTGCCTCCCCCCCGCCCAGCTTCATCCTTTCCCTCATCATCAGCTGTGTCCCCTCTCCCCAGTGCCAGCCACCCGACACCCCGGGCGTACAGAGGCTCATTAAAACCCCACTGCCAAGTCAGGAGAGCAAGCTCTGTGGCGGGGGGAGCCGAAGCGGGCGCATGCCAGTGGCTGGCAGGGGGTGTGGGGGGGAACACGCTCCCCTGCCTGCTCTCAGGGCGGGACATGGCGTGGGTGTGGGGCAGCCCCACATCCCTCTCCCGCACGGGAGCCGCTCGTGTCCCAGCTACCACCCGCCTCTCCGCCCGCGCTCCTCTTGTGGCTTAAACCCGGCTGGCAGCCAAACACCACGAGCCTCTCGCACACCCTCCCTCACCCCAGGGAACTGGGGGGGGGGAATTGGAGGCGTAAAGGTAAGGAGGCTCGCAGGTCAAGATAAAAACAGTTTAATAACTGAAATAAAACTAAAATAATCATTATAATAATAATAGTAATAATAGAAAACACAAACAGGTAATGCACAATGCAATTGCTTACCACCTGCCAACCGATTCCCAGCCCGTTCCCAGCCAGCGATACCAAAGAAGTGAGAACCCCAAAACCACGATCCTGGAAGCGAGAGCAAGCTTCCTGATCAACCCTCATCTATATACTGAGCATGACATTATATGATATGGAACATCCCACTGGCCAATTTTGTTCCATTGCTCTGGCCATGCTCCCTCCCAGCTTCTTGTGAACCTGTGCACTAGCAGGACATGGGAAATTCAAAGGACCTTGATTTCTTAGCAACAACTGAAAACATCAGTGCATTATCAACATTCTTCTCATACCAAATCCCGTACCAAATCCAAAACACAGCACTATTCGAGATACTAAGAAGAAATATTAGCTCTATCCCAGACAAAACCAGGACAACTCCCTACGCCCCGCTCCATCCCTTTTTGCATCTGAAGTTGCAAGTGGTTCTAATTTTTTATTTTTAAACTGCCAGATTGAGTCTTAATTATTTAAGCATCTTCCAGATTTAGAACGCTGTTTTCGCTGTGAAAGTAACACTCAAGTGCAATCATCTCTCATCAATAAACCATGGAAACAAATGTGTATGCCTGTCGGGAAGCAACTTTATTTAAAGCACATTGAAAAGTCAAGTTCAGTTACAGATATGAAAAGACCTAATTCTGGCCACGTTTGAATGAGTTCAGGACATTTTAGCTCAAGTGAGGAGAAAAAGGGACTCATGCTTATACAATTAGTTTTGCTAGGAGCAAGATTACTTGACTCCCCTCAGACGAGAAGGGGTGCCTCAGAAACATCCAAAACACACACTTGGACAAAGGGCCTTCAGAAAGGCATACCTGCTTGAGAGTTGCGCTGGCTTTCGGGGATTTTTTCCAAAGTGTTAAAACACATAGGCAAGGACAGCTGTGAGTGCTCATACCTTACTGGAAAGCGCTACAAAGCCTCAAATCACACACTCAGTAATTATACAGCAGTTCGGTCCTTCAAAGAGAAAAGGAAATAGAGACTTGGGCTTTAAAATGAAACAAAACCCAAAAAACAACCAAAAAGCATTCCTATTAACATCTTATTCTAATAAATAAGATTAAACAAAAAAAATCTATGGCATAGCCTCAATATCTCTCTGGAGAGGGATTTTTTTCTTGTCGCAGCGAGAGCTTAAGGAAGATTGTTTCTGATCTCACCGGGCACACACGCCGCGTTATCACGTTGCCTGTTTACAGCCCAGCATCACCTCTGGGGGCTGTTTGCACACCGAGCTTCCACCAGGTGAGGTCAGGTTGCAACACAGTGCTTCGGCTAAATGGCCATGGCCGTGGGACCGGGCCGTTACTGCCCGGGGGAAGCTACTGGACATGGGGTTGGCATGGTTGGCCTTGATGGCTTCACCTGTACGGCCGCCTTCTACAGCCACAGAGGAAGCTCCAGGAAACCCTTTTTCCTCCAGCTTTCCAAAACTGCTGTTTCCTACAGAGCGCAGATACTTGATCTTGAGTAACACCCATGCAAATTGCTGCCCGACTCCTCTTCTTTGCAAAGCAAAGCTGCTCTTTATTTATGTAACATTTTAATCTAATTAGCAAAGAGATGGAACAAACTCCTGGAGGGTGGTGGGGAGGGGAAGAAATTACAAGGTCACCTTCCAGCATGTGGGAGAACGTGAGAGAGGGAAAGAAACAACGCGCCTTCTTCCCGTTGGCCATGCTAACACTGAGGCTCCCTCGCTGTTGCCCCATTAGGAGCTCACGGAGGGAAGGAAGCATCTGGAGTGGCTGGAGGGGACTTCTCCCCCTCTGCCGAGCGTCCCGGCCGTTGGAGGGGAGCCAAAGAGGATGCTCGGAGATTCCTTCCTCCGACACCCGACACTGTGGGAACGCAGGCTCAGTACATGCATCTAAACACCACCGCGAAAACGGCATGTTGATTATGGGATATGACCAAGGTAAAACCCTACACATTTACCGCACCCAGAGCTTGCGTTTGGAGACGCTGTAACGCAGCGCAGCCCGGTGCCCCCCACACAGGAAGCGGATCGACGGCATTTGCCCGCGACCTTTAATTTCGGCCTGCGGTTCATCTCATCATGATTGTCTTTAATTACATGACCCCATATTGTTTTTCAGTAGGGCCTCCCGCCTCCCTCGCCTGGGCCAGAAAACGAAGCGCCGCCCGATATACCCTTTAATCTCCACGCGTGGACGCGGGGGTTCGGCCCGCGGCCCTGCCCGTTCCCCCACCCCTCTCCCGAACCTTCCGCGGCCGCCGGATTGGCCCACGGCGGCCGTGACGTCATAGCGCCCCCCTCCACCGCCCCTTAGCCCCCCGCACCACTCTTACGTCACGGTCAGCCCACGGCCGGCTGTGGGGCGGGACCCCCCCCGCCCCTCGCCCGCCCACGGCCCCGCCCCCGCGGCGCCGCAGCGTGACAGAGCCGGCCGGTGCTCGCCCGCCCGCCGCCCCCCGCCGCCCGCCGCCGCCAGGTAGGGCCGCGTCCCGGGGCGGGGGGGCAGACACGGGGCTCCCCGCCCAGCGGCGGGGTATGTGCGGCCGCCCGGGCCCGGAGGAAGAGGAGGAGGAGGAGGAGGAAGAAGAGGAGGAGGAGGAGGGGTCGGGTACCGGGTGGGGGCCACGGCGGGCCGGGGGTGCCGATCCGCGGGGCGCGCAACAAGTGCGGCGGGGCGGAAGGCGGGCAGGGCGGCCGGCAGCGGCGGGCGGGCCGGGGGAGGGAGGGAGGGGAAGATGGAGGGGGGGGGGGGGGGGGGGGGGGGGGGCGGCGGAAGGGCCGGGGTTTTCGCCGGGAGCGTCTTTCGCCGGTGCAGTTAGTCAAGAGCATGATGCAATCCCGTATTGCCATGGCTACTGCATCCCCGGGCGGCGGCGGAGGCTCCTTCCGCCGTGGCGGGGCACAGAGCCGGGAGAAATAATACGGGCAGGAAGGGGGGGGAACTCCCCCCCCCCCCCCCCGCCCCCCCCCCCCGCCCCGTTCCCGGCTGCGTTTAACGGCGAGGAAGCGGCCCTGGGCCGTACGCTGCCTCCCCGGGGAGGGCTCAGCGCTGCTACGGCTCCACACGAAAAAAGCCTTGACCCGTTTTTCCCCCCCCGCGGTGAGCGTGTGCATCGCGGGCGTGCGTGTGCTTCACGCGAGCTCGGCGAACACGCGGGGCGGCCGGGCGTGAACAGCCTCCGGGATCGTGGCCGAGTGCCAGCGGGAGGTCTTGTCGGGCTCGGAAGGAAAGAGTTCTTCTTCTTCTTCTTCTTCTTCCTCCTCGTCCCTGAGCCCATCATCTTGCTCGGCAAGCCCGGACCGCGTTACTGGTGTTGAAACGGAGCCGCTGGTACGGTAATTCCCGGGTTTGTCTGTGGGACAGGGCAGATGCCACATTAAACTAGCGCCGTGGGGAAGTGCAGTGCTGCTAAAAGGTGCCTACCCGTTCTAAAATCTAAACAATTAACGTGTACAAGCGTTGGGAATTAAGTAGAAGAGGGAGGGCACGCGATAGAAATGTGTCAGTATGTCAGATGCGTATGCAGGGGCTTTCCTAAAAACTTTATGACTTCGCTTTTATCTCTTCCATCTCCTGGAAACCCTTAGGCATCAGCAGCATTAGAAGCTGGCAATGCTCGAGGTTATGCAGAGTGTCGTGTTGGGTGACATAAGTGTTTTCTCCTTCCCTGCCTGTGCTGGCTGCTTTTCTGCCCTCATCCCCCGCCCCGCCTCCCAGGGACGCTGAGGATCCAACTCCGGAGAGTTTTCCGGCACTGATCCGCTCTCTGATTCTGCAGACAAAAGGCCAGTTTTGCAGACCCGGGCAGGAATAGTAACACCTTGGCTTGCTCAGCAAGAAGGGCTCCTGGCAGATGACAAGAGGTGTTTCTCCCTCCGGCAGCTGGCTGTACTGCCTGCTCCGTGTCCCAGCCACGGGTGGACGGCAGTGTCCCGTACGGCTAACCGCTATTCTCGGCGCTTCGGGGGGATCTCTGGTGCGGTGGGATTCAGGGCGGCGGCGAAAAACGTGAGCAAATCGCTCAGCCGGCTGCTGGCGACGGTGAGGGGAAACGAGGCAGGGGCACGGCCGCAGTTAGGATGCTTCCGATCAGGAAGTCTCCGAAACCGCTCTGTGTAAATGGAAACGCGCCCCACCACTGAAACCAGAGGAGAGCAAGCGTGCAGGCGTCTCCGGCGGCACTCCAGAGCCTTGGGCCGGAGCTTTGG